TATTCTTGACTGCATAACAAATTTATTTGAGGTGAGTAACACCCCCCTCTGTCTCTGTCTCTGTCTCTGTGTCTCTCTCTCTGTCTCTCTCTGTGTCTCTCTCTCTGTCTCTCTCTCTCTCTCACACACACACACAGAAAAAAGGGGGCATAGTGGTTCACATCTTTAAATACTTGGGAGGCAGAGACAGGCAGATCTCTGTGAGTTCTAAGCCAGCCTGGTCTATAGAGCAAGCTACAGGACAGCCAGAGCTATATAGTGAGATCATGTCTCAAAACAAACAAACAAACTAGCAAACAAACAGAAAAAATGGAGAAGAGAGATAGAGAGAAGGAATAGAGGAATCTGGTCCCTATGGCACCTCCCTGACTCAGGACCTGGAGAGGGGTGGGAAGGAAGCAATGCACATGCTCCCTGATTTAGGCGGATGAATGGACCACATTGGCTGCCGCACTGGGAACTCAGAACTACTAATTCCCTAGGGAAACAGGAGGCTCTTTCATGCCCAGGCGCCAGTGGGGTGAGGGGACGGGAAGAGGGTAGGGAGCTGGCCATGTCCCAGGGGGCCAGGCAGCCTCATGCCAGGGCCAGGAGCCATATAGGAAGGATGGTGGTTGGGATTGTATGCAGTCTTCAGGCATCACGGCCACACTTTTGTATTCAGTGCCATAGAGGTGACACCAGACAGCTGTGGGCAGGATAATGATGAGCCTGTGCCTGGAGACAGACCTTGTCTATGAGCCCCACTGTCTCCGGTTATTGTTACTAGACGTCAACCCTAACAGCCTGCTTTTACAGACAGGAAGCTGAGCTCAGAGGTCAAATGTTTGTCTAACATAACACAGCCAAGCTTTTAACTACACATGCTTCCTCCATAGCCCTTGGAGGCACCTAACCTGGGTCTGGATGGCAGGAACCCACAACTGAAGTCCTGGCAAGTAGCTCCCGGCATTAACGGGCTAGCAGAGCAGCCCTCCTGAGGGTGACCCACTTACCCTGCCAGCCCCGCTTCCTGGTGTAGGCTTGGGGAGGCGTTAGTGGATGCCCAGCAGCCCTGGCCAAGGTAGAAAGAGGAAAGATCAGAGCCCATTCACCCCCAGGGGCTGCTCTGGCTTGGGAGCCTGCATTCAGAAGTGGGAGTTCCACCTTCTCCCCAAAGCTGCTCCAGCCCAGTGGGCAGTGGCTGGCACCTGCTCACCCTTTTTTTGTTGTTGTTGTTGTTGTTTTTTGGTCTTTTGAGACAGGGTTTCTCTGCAGCTTTGGAGGCTGTCCTGGAACTAACTCTTGTATACCAGGCTGGTCTGGAATTCACAGAGATCCACCTGCCTCTGCCTCCCAAATGCTGGGATTAAAGGCATTTGCCACCACCTACCTACTATATGGCTTTACTTTTCTAATCCCTTAATCCCTGGCCTGGAACTCTTTCCCACTACATGGTCCCTCCCAGAAAGCCCTTCCTTCAGGAAGAGTCCCTGCTTCCTAAGCCTGTTTGTCCACGAGGTTCACACCTGAATCCATGAGGTTTGGGCTGTTTGCATCTGGTTTTGTTTTGTTCCCACTGGGGCAAACTCCTGTTCATCCTACAAAACCCACCTCATGGTGACTCTTTGGACAGTCTTCCATACCTGCTAAGATAGCATTTGTTGAGAGACTTATCCCTTGGTTTGGTGCTGGCAACAGAATTCAGCATCTTGCAATTTCTTTCTATTTATTTATTTATTTATTTATTTATTTATTTATTTAATGTAGACAGTCTTCTGCCTGCATGCCAGCAGAGGGTACCAGATCTTATTCAAGATGGCTGTGAGCCACCATGTGGTTGCCGGGAATTGAACTCAGGACCTCTGGAAGAGCAGTTAGTGCTCTTAACCTCTGAGCCATCTCTCCAGCCTCATCTTGCACTTTCTATCTCTGAACTACATCTGTCAGCCGAAGGACCCACATGGTATAAGAAGAAAACCAATTCCTGACACATTGTGCTCTGACTTATACAGATAAATGTATTAAAAACTTAGGAGCTGGCTGGGTGTTGGTGGCTCACACGTTGGTTGCTCACGCCTTCAATCCCAGCAATACAGAGAAACCCTGTCTCAAAAACAAAACAAAACAAACAACAAACAAAAGTTTAGGAGCTGGACAGTGGACCTATGTCCAGCTCCCTGCATCCACACTGGAAGATTTGAATGTGCTCTGGAGGGACAGGTTCCAGACAGACATGCACAGTACATAAGCATTAAAAAAAAAAAAACACTCATTACACATTTTAAAAAATGGTTGTTAGTTTGTTTTGTTTTTTGAAACAGGCTGTCTCTGAATATATAGTCTTAGCTGTCCTGGAACTCACTGTGTAGACCAGTGTGGCCTTGATCCTTCTGCCTCGGCCTCCACTGCCTGACAATAAAATGCTTTTACTTAAAAAATATATATTTAAATCCCAGAGTGGGGTGTGGTGATGCATACCTTTTAATCCCAGAAACAGGAGGATTTCTGGGAATTACAGGCGACCATTATCTGAATAGCAAGTTCCAGGCAGACAACTCTATACCAGACCCTGACTCAAAAAGCATATCCAAGGGTTTAAACCTTGGTTGGGTGGTTAAGAGCACTTGTTGGCCGAATGTTGATGGCGCATGCCTTTAATCCCAGCACTTGGGAGGCAGAGGCAGGTGGATCTCTGTGAGTTCGAGGTCAGCCTGGTCTCCAGAGCGAGTGCCAGGACAGCCTCCAAAGCTACACAGAGAAACCCTGTCTCGAAAAGAGTACTTGTTCTCAAGGACATAGAGTCTCATTCAAGCACCAAGCATGCATGTGGCGCACAAACATACATGCAGACAAAACACTCATACATGCAAAATAAATTAATAAATTAAGGAATATATATATTTATATAGATAGATATATAAATTTATTTAATTTTTGGAGACAGGGTTTCTCTGTGCAGCTTTGTAGAACAGGCTGGCCTCGAACTCACAGAGATTCGCCTG